AAAAAGAGTGGAATAATCAAGAATTACACGTCTGGACTGAAGAGAATCTACGTTAAAATATTTAAGTCTTGCCTCATACGTGTCCAATCTCTTGCGCATTCCGAACTGCGTGCTCAAGTTGCGGAGAAACCGTCTTTGGACATTTTCAATTGCATCAATGTGGCAATTATAATAGGGTGACCATATAACCGAACAATACTCTAGATGGCTGCGGACCAAGGAAGAATATAGAGTTACCATACTAGTTGAATTTTTGAATGGTTCTGACACTCTATTAACGAAACCCAGCATTCTGTTTGCTTTGGCGACTATGCGTTCGTAATGTACCGAAAAATTCAGTTTGGAGTCGAACCAAACACCAAGATCATTAACCTTATCCTGCTGTATTAGTATGACATTGTTTATATTGTAGGGATATTTAATAGGTTTTTTTTTCTTGGTGAATGTAATAATGTGACACTTGTCAACGTTTAAATGCATATTGTTTCTATCGCACCATAAGCATAGTCGGTCTATGTCCTGCTGCAATGCGATACAGTCATGTATAGAGTTTATCTCACAATATAGTTTTAAGTCATCAGCATACGCTAGACACGGACAGGAAATTGAATCGACAAGATCATTTACAAATAATATGAACAAAAGAGGACCCAAATTAGAGCCCTGAGGTATGCCTGAAGTAGGTTCAAAAGGAACAGAGTCATACCCGTACACAGCTACAAGCTGCATGCGGTTTCTCAGGTAAGAGTCAAGCCAGCGCAGAAGTGAGCCATGAACACCGAGGTGATTAGCCTTACGACAAAGAATCTCATGATCAACCTTGTCAAAGGCTTTAGCGAAATCGGTATATATAGAGTCCACTTGGGAAGGTTTATTAAAGGCTGTATTCAAGTAATGTACGTACGTTAATAGGTTGGAAGAGGTTGAACGGCTCCTAACAAAACCATGCTGCCTGGGACTGATTACATGTTTTAAATGAAAATACAGACGTTCATAAACCAGTGTTTCGAAGATTTTTGAGAAACACGAGAGAATGCTGATGGGCCTATAATTTTTGACATCGGATTTACAACCAGATTTATGGATTGGCGTAATTTTGGTCATCTTCCATAATTGGGGAAAGTAACCAGTGTTAAGGCTTTTATTAAATATAATATTTATTAAATATAATCTTTCATTCATTCTTTCGTTCATTTCATATCGGATGATTCCGGTGACGTTTCAGATTTGAAGTTTCTAGAAATGGGACGTTGTAAAATCGAATCAAAAAATCGATTTAAATATCTTATCGAAATAATTTGTAAGGAAGAGAAAATCGATATACAAAAAATAATTTCATAACAAATAATAGACAAAATAAAAAGGATTCAATTATTATATTACTAAGTTACCAAAAGAACTATACAACAAATAAAAAATCAACAACAACCAAACAAAAACTCAACAACAAAGCATAAAATCAATTGCAACGAAACGAAATTGGAACAATCACTCAAAAAACATCGCGTAAAGCTCAAAACAAGAGAAAACGACCCGCATACAAGATGCTCGCACTCGTATTCACGCGAGATACACAATAGTCGATTCGATTTATCGGTTTTATGATGTAAATCTCTATAAATAAAATATTCCGTTTTACGCATCAAGTAATTGGGGCAATTTATTTTTATCTTTATAATTTTATTTTCTTTCTACTTAATATACTGTAATTTTTATTTAAAATTACAATTGCAACAATATTGTTTGTTGTTACATTATGACAAAATTACTGTTTAATTTTATAACCTGGTATGAGACGGTAGACTCCTGTGCCAAATTGGCTTCCCGCATAGGTTCAACTCAACACTCCAATTTGTACTCCCACGACCTTTGCCTACTCCCAGAATCCCTTCTTCGTGATCGTTGGTCGAAGTAATGGGAGATATCCCAAAAAGAAAAGGGCAAATATTATGCGGACATCCAACCCCAAATTCTTACAATACGATGGTTTTTCAAATTCCGAACAGCAGATAAAAAAACTACGTCAACAATATGCCGGCTTCGCTTAGGTCACGCGTGTACTCCTATTCATTTGGCTAAACTTAGGATAAAAGATAACTCATTATGTGAATGCGGTCTAGACGAAGGAAACGTGGACCAGATATTTTTTGACTGCCCTAAATTACGGGAACACCGTAATTTAGGGCTATATCTATATGACATCCTCCCTCCCTCTATCCCTCGTCCTACTTCCTTTAAATGCCTTTTGGCCCTATCCTCTCACCCAAAAATGTATCATATTCTTTTTAAATTCATACATGTAAATCATATTAAACTATAAATATTATTCATGCACTAACACTATATTTATCATTATATATACATGTTTCTAACGACTTGTGTTGTCTAATTTGTGCCGTTTCCTTTGTTCTAGAATTCAATTTGTGCAAAAGTCTCTTCGATTCTCCCTCTGAGTCACCGAACAAAATTCTAACACACCGGCCATAACTTTTATGAAGCTAGAAAACGGACACTGGCAGAATTGAGGCTTTGTAGTCTCACAAGCCATTCATTAAGAAAAAAAAAATGTCTTTCTAATTTGTGTCTGCGTGCTAGGAAAAAAAAAAATTCAGTTTGAGAGATTGCAGCTTTGATGTTTGCTCTCGTTTTGAAAATAATTTTTTCTCTTAGATTCAACAAATTCGTTTAACATTTATCCAAAAACATACAATGGGCGACGTAAACAACATTATATATAAATTGCTTATCAAACAATACGATTTTTGTTGTTTATGTTTCAATACTTTAATGGAAAAAATAGTTTACTTCGACGATGAAGTGATTTATTATGAGAATTGTGATCATTACAGCTTTAAAATATCTGAAATACTGTCGTCTGTACTCGGTGAAGAGGTAAGCGGCAAATAACTTAGTGTAATTGAATAAAAACATGTTTAAAGGTTAGAAAATTTTATTGTCCAATGTTTTCATGTGATTCTGTTTCTATGGTCCTACCGTATTGAGACCACAGTTGGTTCAGTACGCAGTACTTTATTGCATTCCCAAAAGTTTACAATGTAGCAGGTGGACATTCATAAATTAAGTGACCTTGTTGGGCACAGCAAAAACACAGTTCATGTACTTTTTTCCTCTCGGGGGAAATCCTCCTTGGGCACCTCTCCGCCGCGGGGGCAGTGGAAATTCTAAGCCTAGTTTATGAATTCTAATGGTTAAAATCCCACAGTAGCCTTCTCGGCTGTGCACCAGAACCCCCAGCATCTGTTTTCTCTTCACGACGAAGCGGGTCACACCGCCCCGTTGTCCTCCTCACAGCTGCCAAACGTACTAACGCATAGAGCCCCTGCTGCGATCCGCAGTCGTGAATGTAGCCGCCGCTGAGCGGGTTCGGCCCTCTCCCAATCACGTTCAGCGAACTCCTTTGAAGCGTCACTGCTTCAAAAAAGGAGACCCAGGCCCGCATTATCATGTGTACATCGTGCTAACTGCTGAGCCATCAAGATAAGAATAATGCATCTTCCTGTTGTAATGCCTTTATATCTTTTGGATGTGAAGGGTTCCAAATTACAATTAACCCCATAACGGATTATAACGTAATATAATTTTATTTACAGGTCTTTGAAAATGTATCAGCATTTGAAGCTATTTGCATCCAATGCTCAACATCAGCAATAAACAGCTTCAGATTTAAAAGAGAAATAAAGGAAAACAACCAATGTCTAACGAACATGATCGAGCTCCTCAATGGAAGTTTCCAGGACTTCCCAGAAGAATTTAAAAGGAGCTTTAAAAGCCTTTATGTTACTTTAAATCCTGAGTTACAAATTAGCAGTCAGTATTATGATAATGTAGTATGTGAAGATACATATTCTGCTTTACGCAGATATTATGCTATTTCAAACTATAAGGACAAAAATATTTATTCCATTTCAAAGAGTAAAGACAGGATTAAAAAGGAGAATAAAGGCGTTTCAAATACATCAAAAGCAGAAATTGCAAAAAAAAGTAGACACTTTACAAGCAGGCTAAAAGTTGGTACATTAGATATGTTGCATAATAGAGATGACTTGTCAAATATACAATGTAAGGAGTGTTTGGCTACTTTTCAATCATTTACATCTCTACGCAGTCATTTTTTGAGAATACATGCACCGAAAAACTTCAAATGTGATGAATGCCCAAAGACTTTTGGATCAGCAGGAATTTTATCTACTCACAAAATGGAAAGCCACAATGCTGGTTTAGTATGCGCTGAATGCGGAAAGGTGTTCAACCATCGGAATACATTGAAAATGCATGAAAAAAGCCACTATGTAAGACTTATGTGCCAAATATGTGGTAGAGTTTATAAAAATCACAATACGTATAAAAAGCATATTGATAATCAAATCTGTGAGGCTCCTACGAGGCGGTCTCAAGCTGATGCAAAGTTCGAGTGTGATTACTGCCATAAAAAATATTCCCAAAAAATGACTTTACGAGTACACATTCAGTATGAACATGGGAACTATAAGTATCTTGAATGTAAATGGTGCAATAAGAAATTTTGGTGCAAAAGTCGTTTAAATGCACATATAGTTAAACATACAAAGGAACGGAATTTTACATGCACAACATGTAATGGAAAATTTGTTACTAAAGAGTCATTATTATATCATACTCGCATTCATACAGGGGAACGTCCATATAAATGCCCCCATTGTGATTGTAGATTCCTCAATTCATCTCGTAGAGCTACTCATGTTAGAAGTCAACACATGGATCCGATTGTGCAGTGCGATATTTGTCAAGCAAAATTCAAATCGTTCCACTTCTTGCATAAGCATAAAAAGTTACATAACGAGCTGGATATCAAACCAACCAATAAATCAGAGAAAGGTCAAAGACAGATAAGTGAGAAACATTTAGTCAAAAGAGGTGAAGCTATAGGAAAAGTAATATTTGTTACGGACCAATTAACTTCTGAAAATATTAAATTAGATTTGGGTGATGAGGAAAATGTGGAACTAAAATCCAATACAGACCGATCTGAGTATGTGTATCAATATCAATTTGGTGACGGGCAAGATTTGGAACAAGATCAACAAATATATCTTGAAGTTACAGACGATGATGATGTTATAAAAGTTTCTGAAAACATTGAAGTGTAATTAGATCATGTGTTGTTCATGTTTGGAAATGTTGGACCAATATTGTTAAGAAAACTGAAATTGTGGTATTAATCAGGAAAATCTTGAACTAGAAGCTTTAGGGCGCATTTATTCGACGCAATTTTATCGCGCTCACCCCCCGATTGGAGCCCGCGTTGCCGCCGCGCATGACCGCGTGCATCTAACTGTCATGGCAAAATACGCTCTATTTGTTTAGCTTTTACGTTTTAATTTTAAAGAACGTCTTGGGCACGCGGGCGAGTCTAGCTTGAATTTGGTCTACGCGGCGGCGGCGGTCGCGAGGTTGTATTATTCAAAGGAATTTAAATCTTGTTGCTTAGATAAAAGAGTAAGTAAATAAAATTCAGATTCACTGTTAATGTACATGAAGGCGTGGTAACTGGGCGGTCGCCGCGCGGAATCTGTCGGCACTTAAGAGTTCTGCAATAGCAGTATGAGTGTCTAGAACAAGTTATCCATGTATTCTCATTTACTCCTTACATATATATAGAACAAATATATTTATTGTAATATAGATTTTATGATTCACGTAATATTCCTATGTTACATTAATTCATCATTTGATATCGAATATATTTCTTTATATATAATTTTGAATAGAACTAATAAATTGTAAATAACATAACATACACAAGTTACATTTAAATTGTACATTTCGCAGTTTGATGTTTAGCACAAGGTTTGTAATATATTAAATTAGTTTAGAACTTATAGTATGCACTATTTATACAGATTATTACACAGTTGTAATATACTGTTAATAAGAAAACTTGCAAAAGTATTTCTCGCAATTGGTTCTACTCTAATCAATCATCTGTCTAATTTTATTTGTTAATTAGACACTACTTAGTGTATTTAGTTTTGTTACGAGTTTACTTAATAAATTATGGAAGAGTACATTAATATGCTGTTTCATTATAATATTGGTATAGAGTACTAGAAAAACCGACCTCAAAAGTCATTCATCCCCTAGATTACCACTCTTCGAGGTGGAATAGTTTCTTGAAATTGAAGTGGGAAGTAGTGGTACTGAGGTACCCACTTTCCAACAAAAAAAGAATCGTCAAAATCGGTTCACAAAGCTATTCGCGCCAATTTTTTTTACTCATAACTTTTTTATGATATGTATATGTATGTACATACTGCCTATAGTTTTGTAAATATCATTAATAATACGTGTAACTTAGGAACAAAGTCAGACGCCGACCACACTGTGATCCGGGTGCACTAATGCGAGTGTCGTCGCGCGTCGCCAGGCGTTGTAGTTGAGAAATAGGACGCGACGCGACGCTTCGACTCTGCGCCAGTGTGAGTTGAGCCTTACGAAAACGTAAGGTGTTGCCCTAAAATCGAATCGCTACTCTATACTTTTAGGGTCGTATTCCAGAACTCTACTCAATAATCAAGTCAGGACTTGAGTATGATTTAAAGCACTAGAAATCATACTCAAGTCCTTGCCATTAGGGTCGTATTTCCAGTGCTTGAAATGATACTCAAGTCTTAACCTGAGCATTGAGTGGAGTTCTGGAATACGACCTTTATTAAAAAACTAACAAAGGGTTATGTAAACAGATTATACAAAAAACTGTCATACAGCATAATTGAGTCAATTAAAATAAATTGTATGTGGTATTGTGTGTTCAATTACGATGCACGGTAATATATCAAGAGGCTGTATGGTAGCACCTTTGCATTCCTAAATAAATGGGTAAAAACTTATGATAAAAATGTGATGCACGAATATACATGACCATATGCTGTAAAAGAAGCGGTAAAGTAAACGAAATTACTTTGAAGTGAAATTACTTCACTAGTTTGTTGTAGAACTCATTTTCGCGAAGAAAATATAAACAATACAAAAAATAGAATTAACAAAAAAGGATTTCGAAGTACTTTCGTTTATTTTACCGCCTTTTTCAAATATTTGGTACAGGTATAATCGTGCATTTTATTCTTTTCATAAGTTTTTACCCATCTATTTAGGAAGGCAAATGTTTTACCAAACAGCCTCTTCATACAATACTGAGCACCTTGTTCTAAAGAGGCTGTATGGTAAATAAGTAATAGGCAATTAAGGTGAATTCACAATGAACGATTCTGGCAATATTTTGCCGCATGTTATCGCGTTCCACGTTATGACCTTGAGTTGACCAATTAGGAGCTAAGGTCGCAGCACCTGATTGGTCAACTCAAAGTCATGTCGCGCAACGCGATAAATTGCGGCTAAATACATGTATAAATGTGATGTGAAATAATGATAAAATGTGAATCCACCTTTACAAGCGCTAATGTTATAGCAGTTGGCCTCATGACAGTTTTTTTAGTCTGTTTATAAAGCTTTTTGCATTTATAAGTATAGAGCAGGAATTTGATTTTGGGTCAACACCTTACATATCGTCGGGGACTGTGCAATTACGTATAACTAGTATTGGATAATTCCGTGGAATTTTACAAATTACTTTAACATTGAAAATTTTTAGACGTTTACAGGTTCTCAAGCTATAAAAATTTATAAAGGCACAAGTTTAGATTCTAAACGTGTTTTAGATTGTCAAAATAAAGTCAATTTTGTTGGTTTGTCTGTGGCGGTGGAATTCGTGTTTTTGTTATGCTTTTTTAAATTTTATGCCAATTGTACGACTATAACCAATTAAATGTGCAAGGAAATGCATTTAAAATGACGTTCCTTGAAGATACGCTTATCATTCTCGTATCCCAGGTACTTTACATAAATTTTCAGGTTATGTTTTGGTACTTTACGTATCCTATTTTTTAATAAATTTACTACAACTTCACTGCAAGGACTAGACTTTTGGTATTAACATTAATATGTAATTTTCTCTATGTTGATATTATCCCAACAATATTTACATTACCGGTTAAGTAAAACTTATGTTTCCAAGTAGGTACCTACATTGCTTTCTCACTTTTTATATATGAAAATTCCATAAAATGAAATAAGAAAACTTTGCCTACAAAGTCATTACTATTTAGGCCTTTCAGAAGATATAGACTTGTGAGCTTTATTAACCTGCTTTCAGAAACTAATTGCACAATTTTCACTGTTGGGTTGTTGAATTTTCTTGTTATTATTATTTCCCTTATGGCGGCTACTAGGTTGTGGCCAGTGTCAGTTACGAATAGAGGTGGGCGTTTAAACGACAAGCACTTAAAACGTTTGCTTTTTAAAATAAGCATGTAAGCTCGCTTTTCAATATAAGCATAAACGTTGGTCAGTTCAATATGCAACAATTTTAGTTTTTACTACGTGCTTATGTTTCAAGTCCCGCCATCTATATTTCCTAAATAAATGAATTCGTCAATGTGAATAAAATTTTATAAATAAAAATAAGACTCGTGTTTACTAATATATAAACTTACGTATCTTAAAACTTTAGTGATCTATTCTTGCTTTCGCTATCAACATAATGTTGCCAGCTTTTTGTAACATAAAAGTCTATGCACTTAAACATTTTTCTAAACAATTTTGTAAGCTTCAAACTAAAAAGTGTTTAAGTTAAAAACATTTAAATAGCACAGTATTAAATAGTCAGTTAATATAGATTAAAAAATGCCGACGTTAAGGCAGCAGCAAGATATTTATATACAGTGTGGCTAATGTAAATTGTATCTAGTAAAGTTTTGTAAAATTGTCCCCAAGTGTATTCACTGCAAAGGACAGTGACCCCGCCACTCGCTTCATCGAGCGACATGTAATCTTTCTTGATCTTTTATTCTCCTTTTTTTAAATTACGTTTATGTACTAGTATTGTTATAATTTACTAATTATTTACATTAGTTAGAAAATTTGACTGAAAAAAGATTTTTTGTAAGTTAGTTTTGATACTTACCAACTTTAGGTTACATGAAAGTGGTGCTAGAAGTACCTAGCTCCACAGTTGGCAGTCTTCGTACTGGAGCCAGCCACAGATATGCAGGGTTTTGTTTCAACTTAGCACATTCTTCACAACAGAAAAAGCAGAAAGAAACCAGAGACTGACCCCTCCTACGTAAAGTATTGTAAGTCGAAAATGCCAAGTTTACAGGGGAGTGTTTTAAAGTTTTGAATTCACTGAAATGGGCACAACATGTGACTAATAAATTGTAAAATGATAAAATAAATTGTGGTTGTAGATCTAACCGATTACTAGGATTTTATAATACTCTATGTGAGTAACAAGCTCTGCCGAATAAAACTGTGTTATGCTCATTTTAGTGAATTCAAAACTTTAAAATGCTCCCTTGAAAAGTTGGCAATTTTAAACATACGATACTTTACGTAGGAGGGTTCGAGACGATTTTTGCGCGCAATTTTTCGACACTCGTAATCTGCGTAAACTAAACGTTTCACATCATGCCATAAGAACGCAATTGATGGTAATACAGGGTCTGCTGAACTGTTAGTGGTTTTTTTTGCATTAACTCTTGTTTACTTAACGAACCACATAGCATTTCGTGAGAAACTAGAACGTATGCGCGATATCAGCGGAACGTAGACGCAATACGTAAGGTCGTGTGATGATCTACCAATCACGCGCTCGATACGATACTCCCCCCCGTCCCTACTCGTACCTTACCACCTAATATATCTAAAATGCAATTTTCTGCGCATGGGTCATTGTTCAAATGGTTGCCGGTACCTGTGGCACGTGTAGTGCAAGCCTTTGGATCAAAGGTGGTTACCGCAATTAAATAAAAACTAAGAATTTAGGAAACTTATTTTCGATTTATTTCTTTAGTGATTTGGGTTCAGTTTTGGATACAGAATGACCTCTGTAAATATGGCGAGAATGCAAATCAACACATTGTATATGTTTTAATGTTGGCGTTTTTGATCAATATTAACTGACTGTGTTCTTCGAAACTGTTGTTCAATATTAGCTGACTGTGTTCTTCGAAACTGTTGATCAATATTAACCGACTGTTCTCTTCGGAACTGACACTGGCCCACACCTAGTGGCCAGTATTAAGGAAATAATAATAATAATAATAACTACCTTGATCATACTGACACTGGTGATGATCGCCATAATTTTTATAATATTCTTACAAAATTAATACTGGCTCAAGTGTAGTGGCCGCCATAAAGGAAATAATAATAATAAATACTTTGCTGTTGCCTAAACGTCGGCGTCAACATGCATCATAATAACTGACACTGACCCAAGCCTAGTGGCCGCCATTTAGGAAATAATAATAAATGATTAAAAAATTCTAGGAATTTCTCTTTGTTAACCCGTCATGAGTTAGGACTCATGACATGATGAGAGACACAGTGTCTCTAATGATTTTGGTAAAAAATTTACAGTGCCAAAATTATTGTATCATACAGTGTATCTTTTATGATTGTACATAGCCCTATGTACTATAAGTTTCCGGAACTGGCCACTTACATAAACAATATTTAATAAGTAATTACAAATAAGTAATTACAACATTTGAAAATGGAACTCTTTGGCTGTAGAATACAGTTTGTTTCATCTGTCTCTTGCTTTTACATTGTAGCGTCATTTTGGAAATTGGGTGTCTGCATCACCATGGATTTAATTAGTGAACATTTTCGTACTATGATTTTCTACGACTTTAAGTGTAATTGAACAGCTCAGCGGAGCTTCGCTCGGCTTCAAACTGCTTTTGGTGATGAAGCACCATGCAAGACGACTATTTATAGCTGGTTTGCAGAATTCAAACGCGGTCGTGTGAATCCCAGTGATGAATTTCGTGATGGTGGGTCGTCCACTGCTGTGAACAACAAAAACATCGATGCTGTGCCCTATGATCAAAACAGACAGGCATGTGACATACCAAGAGATTCGGGCATCTTTAGGCATAGGCATGAGTTAAATACAATCAATACTACACAAACATTTGGGTGTGAAAAAGCTGTGCTCTCGGTGGATCCCACACAATTTGATTGAGACTCAAAAACGGGTCGCTTCACTTGGTGCAATGCCATGCTTGCCAGATTCAACGAAGGGGCGTCAAATTTGGTATGGTACATAGTAACAGGTGACGATACATGGATTTATAGTTACGATCCCAAAACAAAGCAGCAATCGAGCGTATGGATCTTTCGAGATGAGCCGAAACCAACCAAAGTGGCGCGCGTGCAAAGTGCCTCTAAGCGGATGATTGCTTCTTTTTTAAATAAAACTGAACACGTGGCTACTCTTGCTTTGAAGAATCGTTGTACCGTGAATAGTGATACGTACACGACCATTTGTTTGCCGGAAGTTATTGACAAACTCCGTAAAAATAACCGTAAACGCCGTATCATCTTGCACCACGATAATGCTAGTTCAAGACAAATGAATTTGAAGGTGAACAACGTTGACCTTACGAGCCATCTCGCGTACAGTCCCGACCTGGCACCTTTTGTGTCTTTTATTTATTTCCAAAAATTAAGAACCAGTTATGCGGTCAACGATTTTGATCACCTGTAGAGGCTGTCGAAGAGTATGAAAAATATGTGCCAGAGATTGTCACGGAGTGGCATAAATGTTTTTAAAATGGTTAATTCGTATGAAAAAGTGCATCAACGCTAACGGAGACTATTTTGAGAAACAATAAATTCATTTCGGACCATTAATAGTATTTTTTCTTATTCATTCCGAAAACTTATAGTGCGCCCCACGTATATGTGGATGCGGAACGGGTTTATGGATTTTTGCTCACAAATGTCATTTACAATATATGTTTTAAAATATCTTACATAGAAATAGCATAAAAGAGTTAAATGAATCCCTTCTGTGGATTTTTATCATCTAAGTTTATAAAAAGTAGTATTTAGTAGTATTGCAATATTTTTAAACTTCAACAAGAACAAATGGCTAATTTTGATTGTTATTATTATTTTCAATTTAAAACAGAATGACGCTACGAGCTCTATAACCAAAATAGATCCACAACGAATATCACAAACTTTTAACCCGTCACGTATACTAGAGACCCACTTTATTACTAACACTTAGGTAGCTACATCGTATCTATATTTTAATTCCAGACTGTATTTTTCGTGGGTGGTTGGATTTTCTTCGTAAAACAGCTGTTCAGGGATTATGAAGTCCACCATCTGCTTGTGCAACTCATTTTCTCAGTGACGTTTGCACTTAGTTGCACCATGTTTGAATTGATCATTTTTGAAATCATTGGATATTTGGATTCTAGGTAAGATTTTAATCTTATTCTTCTAATTTATCTTGTCAGGCTAAAAACTATGATATAACAAGACAATTAATGTAAATTAGTGATGCAACAGACCCCTGCATCTGCTTCTGCAACAGCGGAAGTTCCGTACGCTTTTTCACATCTGTTTCCGTTTCTGCTTCCGCAACTTTTGTCAGAAGTTTAAAATTTAAAATCGGAACAAGCGCGCGCTATTGGCTGTCTCAATCAGATTTAATTTAGATAGCCAATAGCGCACGTAGCCAATAGAGTTCATGAATGTGTGCATACGTAAACAGCGCGCGGCCAGCGCCCACATATACAAGCCGTGCTGTTATATTTGTACGGAGTAAAACTACTTGTTATATTATACTATGCTCAAACTCTATATTGTAATATTAATCAGAGATGGCCGACTGCGTTTGCAAGACATGTTATGAAAATGTTTTGATTACAGCTCGAGATATTTCCACTGGAATTTAGGACTATATTCCCTGCTCTTCATGGTGATAGCATTAATACCTTTCTACATAGCATACTTCTGCATCAGCAATGTCAGATTTGGTAAGGTTATGATTTGCAATACTTATTTTTAATCGACCGTAAAAAAAGGAGGTTCTCAATTCGACTATATGTTTTTTTGTATGTATGTTACGCGATAACTTTGTGAACCGATTATGTTGATTCTTTTTTTTTTGTTGGAAAGAGGGTACCTCAGTAGTTTACTTCAGATTTCTTTTTAAAGAAAATGTTCCAACTCGAAGAGTGGCAACTAAGGGATGAATTTCTTTTGAGGTCGGTTTTTTGGTACTCTGTATTGAGATTATATTAAATAACGTCGTGATGCTTTAAGCGGGAAGAGCTAGACCGACTGTCGTCAGACGAAAAATAAAACGATAAAAATGTGACGACAGATTCGAAACGAAACGAGAAACGATTCTGTTGTGCAAACGACAAGGTGGCTGCCGTGAACCGATAAACTGTCGTCGTCTAGTGGGAACATAGACACGACAGTCGTTCAATGATAAAATAAACGCCTACGACACAGTCATGACAGACAGTCGTGATATGGGAACAGGTTAGATGCGACAGTCGTCCAACGATAAATAAAACGTTACGACACAATGGAAAAGCGCCCTATGTGATACAATACACATTTTGCGTATCATCATTGATCCGAAGCTACTTTAAATTGGCGTTTAAACAATAGTTCTGTATGATATTTCTTTTATTATGTTTTCAGTATCTCAAAACATGATCAGACCACTAACAACAATGATTTGGTTCATCTATTTATATTTTTTCTGGAAGCTCGGGGATCCATTTCCCATTTTGAGTCCAAAACAGGTAAGTTTCTTATGTAAAAATTGTTTGCTATCAATATTTTATTTTTATTGGAATATCATGATGTGATTACTAAGTTTTCAATAAATAAATAAATATTGGACAACATCACATACATAGCTCCGAAGTAAGTAGTAGTATACTACTATACTATAGTAGTAGCAGTAGAACTCCTTGTGAATGAGTTCGTCCAGGGAAGTACCTTGCCTATTTCTGCCGCCAAGCAGTAGTGCCAGCATTACTGTGTTCTTGCACATGGGATTTGTCAACTTACGTCTCAGGGTGACGGGCGCAGAGGATTTAATGTTCTGAGTGGCACTGCAACTGGAGAGGCGTGTAGCTCACCATCACGACTAGTTCGTGCCTTCACTTGATATTATAAAAATAGTAACTAAAGTAATCGACGACGTCGACGGTACCAGAAACACACAGACCCGAGAAAATATTGAAAAGTTGTTTCTACATTGGCCCGGTCGAGGATTATATCTGGGACCTCTGAGATGGATCATGAAAACCGATGTGCAAGTCACTCGACCACGGAGGTCGTCTATGATATTCTATAATATTCATAATTTTTTAGTGAAAATACTAGTTTATTATTATAAACTATATAATTTATAAAAATTATTATAAACTGCCTCTATGGCCGCACGGTTACTATGCTGGTCTGCCACGCAGAGGGCTCGGTTTCCATGTTCATATATTTGTCAATTTCTTAAATACGTTTAAGAAAGAAGTGGGAGAACTGTCATTCTAGTGGTTCTAATGCATATTTTTATTATTGTTTTTGGGTCTGTAATGTCAACATTTTGATAGTATAATGTATTATATTATTGTATATTATTATATATACACT